CATCAAATATTTTTAAAATTTTTCAACGGCAGTATGTTCTACTTAAAAAAGTGTCTTAAGAACNTTCGTTTTTAACAAGACATTTTTATGCCTTTACCTTTTTGTACTGTATCTTCCCCCTCAAGATATATATATATATATATATAAGTGTATCATTAATACATGTCTCTTGGAAGCCGTTTTTCCTGACTGTTGGAAGATTTCTATAGTCACTCCATTGCCAAAAGTTAACTCTCCTAAGTATTGTACTGATTTTAGACCCAATCCCGCAAACACCAAATCTCTATCTTCTTTTGTTTTTAAATTATAGCCAAAAAGTCAAATTTTCATGATTTCAAAACATGCTGATATTTCGTTTATTTTTGAAATTAGAGAAATGGGGTTGATACGTTCTTAAGACACTTTTTTAAGTAGAATATACTGCCGTTGAAAAATTTTAAAAATATTTGATGATTTTTGANTTTGGTGTTTGCGGGATTGGGTTAGTCTCGAAAAAAGAGACCGGGACATGGCACCTACTTTTTTCGTATCTCTTATAGTTTCTGAGATAGCCTATAATAACACCCAAATTTGCCCACCCTGTACAGTGTGTTAATTAATTATTGTACCCGACGTCATCATTTCAAGTATGCAACCAATAACGCTATTTATGTATTGCAATACGAATACTGTGATATTGGTTGCATACTTGCAATGATGACGTCGGGTACGATAATTAATTAACGCAGTGTATAATAGGATCATTTTTCACAGGGGAGTAGTTTATTTTAAAATTTTAAATAAAAAAACACCTGTTTATCTGAGCAGGAAGATATCGTATCGTACTGACACCCACAATATCAATATTCGTCGAAAAGATGCACTTACAGTTCTTCGTCACCCGTCGGCTTCATTTCGGAACGTGGTTATTTTCCACGTGGAATAATACGATTGATATGTTGTATGCGCAAACCGAATGACTAATTCTATCAGCGGAGAGACCTATATCAAGGGATAGGTTAGGTTAGGCAAACACTATAATAATCACGATAAAGTGAGATACTTTACACGATAAGAAGCTATATAGTGTACATTTGTAATGTACCCTTGGAACTCAACCTAACGGGAATTCCCATCTACGAAGGTCTTGCGACATTACCGATAAAGTATACTTATATAATAACCTATAGTAGACGCCACGAGAGCTGGCAGTAAATCATCATTTTCCGCTCTTACAAATGGCATACGTAGTTCACAAACCGCTAGAGAGTAATGTGTGTTAGAAAGAGATAGCATTAGTTTAATATGTCTGCTGTACAATTCAAATGGCCACGTCGAAAAAGTACGTCTGTAAGGGATGTAACTCTATAATTATAACCTCAAATCCAAACGGCTTGTGAGCGTTGTCATGAATCTGTCAGTGTTTTCACAAGCCGAAAATGTTTTCTTTGAAAGGAAAATCTTGGGCGCGTTCACCAGAGAATTCCGTTTACGTTGGCAAACGCAAACGGGTTACGATTGCGTTGGTGATTTGGTGAACGGCCAATTTTTCTATAGACATATGGTTTGATAACAACAGATGGCGCTTTAATGACAATTATTTACAATTTTAATTAATTTATAGATCATACCGCTCAATTTATCATGAATTTCTTCATTTTCAAAAATAGTATACACTAACCCATTAAATAAATAATTTCAGGCTTCTGCCATTCTTTTTTGTTGATTTTAAATTTAAGATGACACAAACACCAAACACCGTTTGCGTTTGCTAACGGAAAAATCATACGATTGATAAAATGGCGGCCGTTTACCAAACACGTTTGAAGTTAGCATTGCGTTCACCAGAAATGTTGCCAACAGTTTGGTCTCCGTTTGCAAACGTTGACAGTTGGTGAACGCGCCCATTAAATAATATCTTTGACAATGTTTGACATATAACCTCCATTACTAATATAACCTACATTTAAATGTATGTGGTGAAATAATCTAAGTCGTACGTTCATATCTTGATTCATACCATTTTTAAGCGATCTGTCACTGCCAGCTCTCGTGGTTTCCACTATATATAAATAACCTATATTCTGGAGTAATTTTGTTGTCATTCCATACACATCCTTAGTGTTTGTTTTATTCAAGTTCTTTATTATCTCTTCAATTTGTTTTAGTTGTATGGCTTCAACTTGTTCTATTTGTTTGAACTCTATTTCATCTTTTTTATCATGCTACCTGCTTTCGTTTGTGCTATTTGTACATATAAGTCGTTTAGGTCATTTGCCTCTAGATGTGATTCGGTTACTTTCCTTTGCACCAGTTTTCCTGTTTCACAACATTTCATGCAGAAGCTATCTTATTTTTAGAATTATTCATATAATCTTTGTAAGCTTCTTTTTTTGTTTCATCTATAAGTCTTCTCAGATCTTTCTTTTTAGCCTTATACAGATCCCTGAATTTACTATCCTTCGTAACTTCTGCTACAGTGAAAATTGCATCTAGATTATTCTTCATTCTTCTTAATTCGTCCGAATCCATTTTTGTATAAATTGTATTTGTTTTATCTTTTTTTTATGATTTCACGAAAAGCCGTCTCATAACACGATGTTACTATGCTATGAAACTCAGTCTAGCTGGTTTGGGCATCAGCTATTTTATTGTTGTCCAATCACTTCTTTTTAACAGATTTTTGAACTGTTCTATTGTTACCTTATTTATCAGTCTTGTTTTAATTTTTTTCTTAGTTGTTTCTTTATGCTCAAGAATGATGTCTGCTTCTTGGGCCAGATGATCACCCAAATGCCAGTTTAATGTTCTATCCATTGCGACTATTGCGAATCTGTTATCTACACATCTGCTTCCGTTTACCCTTGATGGTTGATTAAAAATAGGTTTAAGTCCATATTCTAACATAATGGCTAACAACTCCTCATTAATTATTGATTTTTCATTGATACATATATTGTAATCCCCCATTATAAATATATTTTTTAAATTTTGTTTTCCTATTACGAAATGTAAAATTTCTTCCATTTTTCCCAAAAATTCTTTAGTCTCCATCTGGTGAGTGATACACGACTAAAAAAATGGAATTCAGTACTGGGATTTTAACTGCGTTAATTCAATGTCTTTTTCTTTAAGGTAATAAGGATAAGAAAAAGAAGGGAAGAGCTAGGAAGAAATGGGAGGACAGAATAGTAGATGTTGGGAAAAAGAGAAGGAAAGCTCTAGCAGATATAAAGGAATTAGCCAGGAACTGGAGGGAGTGGAAGAGGTGGATGGAGGAATGGAAAATCCGACGCCATCAGGCATAAGGATCAGGAGAAGAAATATTAAAACAGTAAGTTTTATTCACACATTTTATTAAAATACAAAAGTACAGAACAAAAAAATATAATTTACTCGATTCCCGTTCTTAATAGAAAATAAATATCAGATCATTTTTCTTTACATTTAATAAGTTGAGATAGCAAAGGTAAGAACAAAANTTTCAACGGCAGTATATTCTACTTAAAAAAGTGTCTTAAGAACGTATCAACCCCATTTCTCTAATTTGAAAAATAAACGAAATATGAGCATTTTTTGAAATCACGAAAATTTGACTTTTTGGCTATAACTTAAAAATAAAAGAAGATAGAGGTTTGGTGTTTGCGGGATTGAATTAGTCTCGAAAAAAGAGACCGGGACATGGCACCTACATTTTTCGTATCTCTTATAGTTTCTGAGATAGCCTATAATAACACCCAAATTTGCCCATCCTGTACATATAAATAGAACATTCGTTCAAAATAATTTAATATTAAAAGATAGGATTTAGGATTATTTAAGTGTTTGCCCAGCTATCTTTTGATATGAAGTCCTTCCCCTGATATAGGTGTAGTCATTGACGTAATTGCCCAAACGAACATAGTGTTGAAGCTGATGATTACGTAATGTTGTGTAACATTATAAGTAAAATCGTTAAAAATTATTAATTAAGATAATCCAGAAAACATAAAATGTGCAAGTATAATGTATATTTTGTGGATTCCATCTGAAGTTCTAAGAAAATGCAAGAATAAGGAAAATAAACGTATATCATACTGTTTAGATTAATTAAAATTATTGTTACCTGCAACTTGGGTTGCCTATTTCATATTTTTGTTCAATTTTTTACTGTTAGTATGCTTTGAAAATTTAGTGTTCGTCGATACAAACAAATAAAAAAAAATGAGTTAGTAGCAAAAAATTCGTTTCGCTGGCATCACGCCGTATTCATCGTCTAAGATAAATAATTAATAAACATCGAATAAATCAAAAACCAAAAGAATTCGTGTTAACCAGCGCGAACCAGATAAAATCAAAAGCATACTCTAAACAGAACAATTTTTGGGAAGAAGGAGATAAATAAAATTGAAAGGGTACAACTCGGTGGCAGTCTCAATATTAACATGTGCCAGTGAATGATGAACACTCCAAAATAAACAAGAAGGAAAGATCACAGCAATGAAAATTAAATTTTTATGGAAAATAGTGAGGAAGACGAAGTGGAAGGTGAGGAAGGAATGAGGAAATAAGGGTGGAAGTGGAAAGCAACTAAAGTGGTACGCCCACATAATTAGAATGGAACATAACACAATAGTAAAAAATGTTATTGAAGCAAAGAATAAGGATAAGAAAAAGAAGGGATGAAGTGGGAGGAAAGAATAGTAGAAGTTAGGAAGAAGAGAATAAAAACTCTAGCAGATATAAAGGAATTAGCCAAGAACTGGAAGAAGTGGATAGAGGAATGAAAAATCCGACGCCATCAGGCATAAGGATCTTGGAGAAGAAATATTAAAACAGGTAGTTTTATTCACACATTTTATTAAAATACAAAAGTACAGAACAAAAAAATATAATTTACTCGATTCCCGTTCTTAATAGAAAATAAATATCAGATCATTTTTCTTTACATTTAATAAGTTGAGATAGCAAAGGTAAGAACAAAAATTAAATTAATTAAGATGATTCAAATACATCATAAAAATGATATTCATAGAATACAAAAGAAAAAAAAAATGAAATTTGCTTCAATAAAATAAATTAATTATAAAAAAGATTTGTTCCAAAACATTGTTGTAAGCAATCGAGTTATCACTTTAGTAAATTGATCTAATTTGATCTAGTATATAATAAAAAAATCTAATTTATTTACAACCGAATTTAAATTGTAAGCGTTGAAACAATTGTATTAAATAATATTATCTCCGGAAGCATTTTCTTCATTAAATTTCCTCGTAATATGTACATATAATATTATACAATTTGTGAAATATACAGTTTCTTTAAACTTTTCTTATCTCATATCACAGTGCCGTTGTTAAATTCCTTAATTTAAATAATTTCAAGAATTTCCCAATATCTTTTTAATTTTTCAATAATAAATTAATAGCTTTCTTTAAATCTATGCACAACCCAAAACTGTAAACTTACTTACAAATTGGAACATTCAACAGGTAGTTTTTTTTAAAACAACATACTTTTAATTATTTAAACATTTCTTTGCATTATTTACGTATATTTCTTATCTATAAATAACAATTTAACTAAGGTCTTTTCATTAACCCTGCACCATGCATCTCAATAAACGACTCTAAAGCCAATGGAACTTGTCCTCTGTATAATATATTATAATTTTTTATAGCCATCGCTGCTATACATTTTAAACTCAATTTAGCTTGAGTTTTAAGTATTATTTCGGCAACACCTTTAAGAGAAAAATATTATGTATACTTTAATTGTAATTAATTAAGTTTTAAAGTAATTACCTGTTACTGAAGAATCAAGTGGAGTTTCTCCTCTATTATTAACACAATCCACATGAGCCCCAGCTTCCGTTAAATCCATAATAATAGCATGTAATGTTGTAAAATCCGATATGGGTTTATGATAATGTACAATAACGTGTAACGGAGTGTTACGAAAGTTATCCATTGCGTTTACATTAGCACCACATTGTATTAATAATCTTGTCGTTTCCGCACAAGGAAATCTAATAACATTTGTAAGATTTTAATTTATTATTATTGAGGATTATTTTTATAAAAAAATTTGGTTAAATTAAACAGTTTACGATTATTATAACCACAACTTTCAGTCACTAATTATAAAAAAGCCTCTATACTTTCTTAGGTGATATCTTGCTTATTATTAGAGATAGCGAAAAACTAAATGTACCGTTTGAAAGCTTGATTCTTTCTCTATCTAAAACCTTATTGTCTGCCGATAAATTGATATTAAGATCAATAAAAAAAATGAAGAACACCGCTCTGTACTTAAAATAGCTCAAAATTACCAAACTTCAAGCCCTTGTGCAATTGTTATCAAACCGAATTTTAAAAAACTGTTATCACAGTCAGAAAGAGCGCTCCTTCAACTATCTTAATCTAAACAACTTTTTTATTTGATAGGGGTAAAACTCTAGAACCGTATCTATCTTATCGAAAATTTTCTGCTATTTCTAGTGGTGTATAACACGCAGCGATCAGTTTTTGGTCAAAAACTACAAAAATAACACGTTTTAGCCACTTTTAAACCTTACTCGGCTCGATAACTTTCTTATATGACCAGGAGAAAACTCTAGAACCATATCTATCTTATCGAAAATGTTCTGCTCTTTCTAATGGTGTATAACACGCGCTTGCACAAGTACGTTTTTGGCCAAAAACTACTAACGTTATAGATTTTTCTGTTTCTACTTAAGTTCCATTTGTGACTGTACAGGGTGGTTCAAATTCGATGTCCGAATAGACTATCTCGGAAACTATAAGAGTTAGAAGAAAAGTAGCTTACATGTCATGATTTTGTTTTTCGAAAAACTGCTAATGCCAAAAGTGTTATCGTCATTTGTTTTTCCCCTAGAGGTCAAAATTGAAAATATCGTAAAACCAGCAAGTGCAATTATCTTGGTTATTATTATAGGTGGAGTATTATAACTAAGACATTATATGGACGCTTTTTAACAGAGAATTTAATGACGTAGTCAAAAAAATTTTTTCTGTTTTAGATTTTGAGATATTATGATAATTTTCGTTTTTTTAAATGGAAACAACCACTGACTATTCGCTTATTAAATTCGTTATTTTTTTCTGATTACAAAAATATGGGGTTAGATAGGTCTATTTCTTATTGTTTTAGAATAAAGTTAAAAATAAACTTTTTTTTTGTGTCGTCAAAGAAATTAAATTTACAGTTTCCTGTAAATTACCATAACTAAAAACTATTCTACTAAAAATTTATGTAAAATTTACTTTATTTTCTAATATGTAACATTCTAACATGTTAAACTTTTCGTAATCCATCTTAAAAAAAACAGGATTTTTAATTTGACACTTCAGAAAATTTTTGAATACAAACAAATGTTGCTATGTTTATTTGAATTAAAAAAATAAAGTCCCTAGATTTACAAAGTACCGCGGTTTGACGCCATTTTGGTTCGAAAGTCAAGCGGGAAATTTAAAACTATAAACCAAAACATTACGCCAAATTTCCTTTCTTTTTTTCTCGTGGTACTCTGAAGAGTTGAAAGTCCTTTTTGCAACTCCAAAGGCAACAAGACGGCAATACTTTTGTAAATAAGTGGTGAGATGCAGTGACAAGCTGTCAAACCGCCATTTTGGCTCGAAAACAGGCTTCATGAACCGCGGTACTTTGTAAATCTAGGGAGTTTATAAAAAAATATATATGACCGCCATCTATCAATAATTTATTAAGTCATTTAATAATAATATTTGTCCAGGACTACCTTATAATCACTTATAATATATACCTTATGAGTGAGTTTTCTAAAACAAAAAGGTATAGTAGACGCCACGAGAGCTGGCAGTAAATCATCATTTTCCGCTCTTACAAATGCCATACGTAGTTCACAAACCGCTAGAGAGTAATGTGTGTTAGAAAGAGATAGCATTAGTTTAATATGTCTGCTGTACAATTCAAATGGCCACGTCGAAAAAGTACGTCTGTTCTTCTAAGGGATGTAACNTTAGATTTGCAGATATTATGACAATTTTCGTTTTTTTAAATGGAAACAACCACTGATTATTCGCTTATTAAATTCGTTATTTTTTTCTGATTACAAAAATATGGGGTTAGATAGGTCTATTTCTTTTTGTTTTAGAATAAAGTTAAAAATAAACTTTTTTTTGTGTCGTCAAAGAAATTAAATTTACAGTTTCCTGTAAATTACCATAACTAAAAACTATTCTAATAAAAATTGATATAAAATTTACTTTATTTTCTAATATGTAACATTCTAACATGTTAAACTTTTCGTAATCCATCTTTAAAAAAACAGGATTTTTAATTTGACACTTCAGAAAATTATTGAATACAAACATATGTTGCTATGTTTATTTGAATTAAAAAAATAAAGTCCCTAGATTTACAAAGTACCGCGGTTTGACGACATTTTGGCTCGAAAGTCAAACGGGAAATTTAAAACTATGTCGTTCTATTGATAACATTACGCTAAAACTCCATTCTTTTTTCTCGTGGTACTGTTAAGAGTCGAAAGCCCTTCTTACTGCTATTTTTGCAACTCCAAAGGCAACAAGATGGCAATATTTTTGTAAATAAGTGGTGAGATGCAGTGACAAGCTGTCAAACCACCATTTTGGCTCGAAAACAGGCTTCATGAACCCAACCGCGGTACTTTGTAAATCTAGGGACTTTATAAAAAAATATATGACCGCCATCTATCAATAATTTATTAAGTCATTTAATAATAATATTTGTCCACGACTACCTTATAATATATACCTTATGAATGAGTTTTCTAAAACAAAAGGGGTAGTCATTTTTCACGGAGTGAATAATAGCGGTGAATAATAATCATTATTAACGGGTAACCAACTTGACAGACTAATAATAACTATTTGAAACGTTAAAATTTCAAAAAACGTCAATTTAATTCAATTTTTTAGGAGTTTCTAAATATTTGATAATAAACCTAAACAAATTCCTTTTTCGTATAATTTAAGCATAAATTAATTAATTTTCGTAAAGAAAACGACGTTTTATAGAATTGACATTTAATTTTGACAAATTGTTGTGAAGTTGGTTACAGTTAGTAACATTGAATTAGTGTCACATTGACGTTTAAACTTTATTCAAAAGTTTATTTAAAAAATAAATTTTGGAATCAATTTCAATAGTCGTGGACAAAGTATAGTATTCTACTCGCATATAACGAGCTATTATTCATATAGCCCTCATTATATGCTCATATAATAATATACTATAAATATTAATAAAAAATGTGAAATAATGCAATCTATTCCAACTTTTGTATAAAAAAAATATAAATTAAATAGTTCAACAAATGTATTTGATTCAAATATCAGAAATGTTTTTTTTAATTTTTAGTTATAATTTACAGGAAACTGTAAATTTAATTTCTTTAACGACACTAAAAAAAAGTTTATTTCTAGCTTTATTCTAAAACAATAAGAAACAGACCTGTTAAACCCTATATTTTTGTAATCAGAAAAAAATAACGAATTTAATAAGCGAGTAATCAGCGGTTGTTTCAATTTTTGGAAAATTTTTTTTTTGTCTTTGTCATGAAATTCTCTGTAAAAAAGTGTCCATATAATGTCTTAGTTAGTCACCTATAATAATAACCAAGATAATTGCACTTCTTGGTTTTACAATATTTTCTGTTTTGGCCTCTAGGGGAAAAACAAAAGACGATAGCGCTTTGATGTTTTCGGCATTAGCAGTTTCTCGAAAAACGAGATCATGCCTATTCGGACATCGAATTTGAACCACCCTATAACACGGTCTGTCACGACGAGCTGAGTCTATATGATGGGATGTAATTACAAAGTCTCCTTATTTTTCAGCATATAACACGCTGGTGAGGAAGAAAAGTGAGGTTGCCATTTAAAAAAATTAATTTTTCGACTTTTCGAGATAAGAAAATTTGACGCACATTTCTGACCAACCTGTATAAATTAAAAAAAAAAAAACGGTTTTAGATAAAGAAAATATCAAGCTTTCAAATGGTGCATTTAGTTTTTATCAGCTAACAGAGTTGTTGTAAAATTGTTGCCATAATCGCATGAATAATTGTAAATTGCAAAAAGTGGCATATTTTCGTAAACTATAATCAAACCAAAAATTTATTTAATTAATAATTAAATTACTTGCAAACATCGTTTGTATGAAAATCATCAACTGGAGTTTCAGCGTTACACGCTAAATGTAAAAATGTTTGTCCATCCCTCAATGTAACGTTTAATTGATTTAACATAAAAACCATTCGATTCATGTTAAATTTTTGAGCATCATTACATTTTTTAATTAATTTAGTTAAAATTGTTAATATATACAGCGTGGTTATCATGTTACTTTCGATTTCTTCTAAAATACTTTCCGGAGTTTCTTTCGATTCTTCTTGTTGTTTCGTTAATTTCGCTTTATTCCGTTCTAATTCGACGATAGCCGCCGCTAAAACTTCTATGACGTTCCCGTAGGTTACCTCAACGCCTAAATGTAACATTTGCGAGAAAACTTGTGCGAATCGTAGGAGATCTTTAACGACGGCGATTTGATTCATTTGGCGTAAATTTAAAGCGTGCAACCAGAGTTGGATGCAACGATCAAATCGAGCGTTATCAGCAAAAACGGCACCTCTAAATATCACAGGATGTGGCACTTCCGGGTTACTTTTACCTAAAATTCTTTCGCGTATCGTTAAAGCCTCCATGTGAATTGAGTTAGCATTTCTTCGAATTGATTCTAATTCGTTTAAAGTTTGGCATTCAACCCAATTTTCATACGCGGGAATTGGTTTCATTAATTTTTTTTTAATTATATTATCCGGATCGCTGTATCTCATTTCCATCGTTCTATGTAAATATTCGTAAGCTTTTTCGATGCTGTAATTGTCTTTGTCGTTAGCATACGAAGCTCCTAACAGTTCTAACGCTTCGATTTTTTCTTCTTTCGATATTTGTGGCTGTTCAACGAAAAATTCAACGATGCGTTTACGCGTTCTTTCCGCGGCGAGTTTTATGGGGGTCATTCCGACGTTGTTTGCAAAAAATTGTGCCCCATAATATAGTAACTCCATTACTATGACTATGTGGCCGCATTCCGAAGCAAAATGTAGCGCTGTTGCACCGCAATTTGCTTTTTCGTTCGGATCTGCACCGTTTTCTAATAAAAAACTAACCTAGAATATGTATATTTAAAGTTTTCGAAATGATTAATAAATTAAAAGGCTTTTTTTTTGATTTAATCTCAATTATAGGAAATTTAAAATCTTTTAAAACGAGTTTTTCTCAATATATTTACACTAAAATTATTTTTGACATCTTAAATTTTTTAAAATATGTTAAATTTAGGGTTTTTTAATCTCATTTTCATTGTGACCAACCAAATTATTTAAATGTCAAGTTGTTATTGAAAAGATAACCTAACTATATAGTTGGAAAGAATAAGTCAATACAATACAATAGTTAAGGCCTGTAAGGAGGTGATGATCCTATAATATTGAGTACTGTATATAGAACAATACTTAGATCCATAAATGAATATGGTTTGTGGATACTAATGTCCATTCCTAAAATTATGATAAATAAACTTCAGGTAATGTGCTATGAAGCTTATAGAGCTATATTGGATGACCTGAGATCTTCTCTAACAAATGCGTTAACGATTGAAGCAGATGAAATATCTATTGAAGTTAGTGTAAGACTTGTTGTTGGCGCACGATTTAAATATTATAACTATTTGAATCATTTAAAAAAACAAATAAATTAGTACTTATTAAGAATTAATGTTTTAAATCGTTATAATAAATCGTATTTTTTCATAATTTGATGATGTAAAAATTGACGTTTTAGCAGTTAACATAACCTCACTTTTAAAAAAATAAATTTGGGCGTCTTCGTGTTTCATTTACAAAATTTATAATAATTAATTGTATTATAGAATTATAACAATTTATAACATATCTTAAAAGTGATTTAGATAATAGTTCAAAAATAATTATTAAATTTCAACTTTTTAAAATTTAAATTGTCACATTTTCTTGTCATTTAATACCAACCTTAATAAAACAAATCTCTAACTGACTTTTCATTTCTTTAATCATTAAAATAATCTTTTTAAGATCTTATTATCAATGAAAATTGTTAATTTAAGAAACATATACACTGCTTATACTGTATCGTTTGTAATGGTGTCGTTGTAGTAAGATTTTATCGCTGCTTAAATTGTTATAAGTTTTTTTTTTATAAATATGTTTACTTTAAGTTGGCATTTTAATTAACACACCCTGACGTTGGCAATGTCTGTTCATATTTGACAGTTGATTTTGATTTGAAAACAGTATAAATGTCAGTTAAGTCAATTTAAACGAAAATTGTTTAAACATTATTGAGGTAGGACGCAAAAAAGCTCTACGGAGGGAGAAAGACGTCTAATATGGAAGATGTTTGAAAAAGAGAAAAATATAAGTAAAATTGCCCGATCTATTGGGAGTTCGTGTAAAAAAGTTCAAAATGCCCTCAAACATTATCGAAAGACGCAGAAAAACCTCAAAAAGAGATGATTCCCTAATTGTTGGGGAGGCGGTTAAAAATCTTCTTTACTTTCGCTACTTCTTCACAGATAAGAGCAGCACACAATGCAGCAGGAATATGATGTCAACATTGTAAGTAGGACTGTTAAACAACGACTTCTGGAAAACAATCTCTGGGGATGCCAAAGTTTAAAAAAACCGAAGGTTTCGCTTGGTAACCGTAAAAAGCGCTTGGAATTCATAAAAAGCTACATTGAATCTCTTCCCTCTTTCTGGAATTGCGTAATTTGGAGCGACGAATCTAAATTTAATTCCAAATAAAGAGTTAGATTCAAAGTACACGAGATAGACAGTGAAAGTCGGCGGCGGAAGTGTAATGGTGTGGAATTGTTTTAGAGAGCGTGGTGTTGGACCTATTGTTCAAATAAAAGAAAAGCTGAATGCCATGGCATACCAAAATTTATTGTTAAACCACCTTATCCCATATTTTGAAAATTTGGCATTATCATTTTATTTGATAATGGTATTCAAACAAGACAATGCGCGCCCTACCATAGATCAATATTAGTGAAATAGTGGTTTCAAAATCAAACAATTTGGATTTAAATCCAATTAGAGAACTTATGGGCAATTATTAAAAGAAGAGTTATGACGCTAAAACCAAAGACGTTACAAGCATTATAGGACGTTATCCAGCAAGAATGGTAGAAAATCGCGAGAGATATGTACATAGAGCTTCTGTCGTGTATGCAAAGAAGATGTAAAGCTGTAATTACACAAAATAGGTACCCCTGGTCTGCAGAAGAAAAATCCTTTCTACTTGTTTGTTGTTTTTAGAATTGTCGTATTTTATATCAAAAGAAAAGAAAAGTTAGAAAGAAAGTTTCAAGAACAAGACCTGAAGGAAGAAGAAAGTATACAACATGTCGATCGCCAAGAAAATCATGAATCTGAAATATCTAATATCTGAGCCTCAAAGCAAAAAAAGGAAGGTTACTTTAAACCATTCGGTCGATCTTGGCAAGACATTTACATAAAAAGTCATGAATCTGAAATATCTAATATCTGAGCTTTTGATCAAAAATTAGTGGACACTACTGCTCTAAATCGATTAAACGTCAAAATTGTTGATTTTCGAAAATTAACTCAATCATAACTCAAAAACTAAAAGCGATGGAGAAAAACTTTTTATACATAAAACCTTAGTAATGGACCATAAAGACTAGATCCATAAAAAGATTGAACCCAATTATTACCATTTTTTATTTATAAGCTCTAAATCAGTGGTGAGCAAGCTGGAGCATGATATGAATGAAGAATTCAAACTCCAAACCCCAACTGGATGTCAATCAATGAAATCAATCAATAACCCAACATTTTTCTCATATTTTTGTATTCATTTTAAAAGATTTTTAAATTATATTCTCTCAATGAATAATTTTTCACATTTCCATAAAAACAAAAATATATAATAAACAAATTTACTTACAATATCTAAGTGCCCCTTATAAGCTGCAATCATCAAGCAAGTATTATTATACTTATTCGCAATATTAATATTTGCATAATGATCGGTAAGGTATTTAACAATATCAAGCCAGCCATCGAAACAAGCAGCTCTCAATGGAGTTGAATTAGTTCTCGTTGGATGGTTAACATCAGCACCTGCTTTAACTAGCAATTTGACAACATTTAAATGACCTTAAAATGATTAAAAATTATTATTTAATTAAATTTAATATATAGCTATTTTTACCTCCTCCTGCTGCACACCATAAGGCACTTGCACCCTCGATAACATAACCATCAAACTTTACAATACCTTCTATTTCTAAATCGGGTTGAAAATTTGATAATAAAATTTTCACCACTTTTTCGTGCCCACATCTCGAAGCCACAATTAATGGTGTACATTGTTGTCCATCTTCTTCGAATACAGTCTTTAAAAGAAAAAATTTATTGTATTAAGTTAAAACAAAAGAAACAGTGTCCATTGTTCTGTTTTGAAACAAAGGTATTTTGTTTTTCACGAAATATGTTCTAAAATATTCCCGAATCTTACCTCATTTAATAATTTATTAACTTCCTCTTTGGTTTTATCGCTTAATAATTGATAAAGCGCTATGGGCATTCCATCTTTGGCGGCGTAATAAACGCGGTTTTTCAATGATTCTTCGTTCATTTTTTCAATGGCACATCGTACCCTAAAATTCTATTTTGAACCACTGACTCGAAGGAAACGAACGGACGAACGAATTTACACACACACGCTCGTTTTATTCCCGATTTATCCTGACGTAGTTCATTCGTGAACACAACGTGTGATATGTTGAATAAAAAATAAATCGGGATCGCGTCTGTCATACAATAACTTGTTGTTGGCGCACGATTTAAATATTATATCTATTTGAATCATTTAAAAAAACAATTAAATTAGTACTTATTAAGAATTAATGTTTTAAATTGTATTTTTTCACAATTTGATGATGTAAAAATTGACGTTTTAACAGTTGACATAACCTCACTTTTAAAAAAATTAATTTGGGCATCTTTGTGTTTCATTTATAATAATTAATTAAATTATAGAATTATAATATATCTTAACAGTGATTTAGATACACATTAGTTCAAGAATATTTATTAAATTTTAATTTTTTAAAAATTAAATTGTCACATTTTCTTGTCATTTAATACCAACCTTAATAAAATAACTCTGACTTTTCATTTCTTTAATCATTAAAATATCGTTTTTGAGATCTTGTTATCAATGAAAATTATTAATAATAGCTAATTTAAGGGCATATTACTTAATATTAACAAAGAAAATAAATTAAATTGATAGATTGTTGGCCCAAAAAAATTCATACCAACCTCAAGGTCAAAACCTTCTTATTCCAAACATCAAAAATTTATTAAATACAAAATAAAATATTATAAAAATTAATAATTTTCTTTATTTTTATTCATTAATAGCAATATACAAATTACGAAATAATAAAATTTCTAAGTATGTCTTAAATATTTAACATAACCTATTCATCAATTGAAATGATTATTTTCCATATCCTTCTTCAGTTTTAAGCATAGACTTGCGTGTGATAACATATTTAGAAAAGAAAATTAAATTTTTATAATAGTAATTTCATTGTTGTTTGTTATAAGTTTTTAATTTTTTACAATATGCGATGCACCTAAATTAACTTACGCTGATGCGATGAACGCCATTGCCCGAATATTATGATTCTTTTAATCATATAAGTTAAATCTCTCTATATATAACAAGGTAAGTGTGTCTATTCGGAAACTGAATTTAATTTGCCCAAGCTTGGAGTGCTTCCAAATCATCCTTATCCTCTTCAACTTTTCCTATAAAAAAAATAATTAATAAATAAAATTTATCATGAAAAAATTATCTTATATTGGAATGCATAGAGCAATCTAAATAAATATGACTAATCTTTTCAAATGACTCATCAAATTAAAAATACCTATCTTAAAAATCTAAAATGACAAATATAGTTGTAGGTTATGTTTCATCTGTCAGAAATTTTTTTATCTTTGAATCAAATTAATTAACATAAAAAATATTTACTTGGAGCTGGTTTAGGTTTAACTGCAACTTCATCTTGTGGAACAGCTGGTAATTCATCCGTAGCTGATGGACCAACTCTAAGTAATTCATCTTCCAAAGCTTCTTGTTCTAATTCCTCCAATTCCTTTTCTAATTCATCTTCATCAACATCCTGTCCAAAAGCAACCGGATTACTAATAGCTTCAGAGATTTCTTTAGCAACATCTTGTTGTTCGGCAATATCATCCATCATATCATGCACTTTATCCACATCCAAGTGATTATTCGCAAGTTTAAGAGCATCAGCTGCTTGCCTCATAGTTGTAAGAACCGCCGTGTTAGTATTAGCCCCTTCTAAAGCCTCCCGTTGCATTTCAATTGTACTTAAAGTTCCATCGATTTGTTGTAATTGTTTCTCGTAACGCTTCTTTCTTTTCAGTGCTTGTATTGCGGCTCGCTTATTTTTCGACACATTCTTTTTTGCTAAAGTTACCTCCATTTCGATTTTCTTTTCGAGAAAATCTTGTTTTTTCATTAACATATCTTCAGTTTCACGGAGTTTTTGGATGGCCTCCCCAGTGGTTGGCTCCTTTTTCTTACTACCAAACAAATCTTTGAAGAAACTCATTTTGTATATTACTTTTTTGTACGGTACACTATCTAAGGTTTTATGAAATTAATACTTAAATTAAAAGTGATTGAAATAAAACGTAATACGTTATTGAAAAACAGCCAAGGGAGAAATTTTGACAGATAAACAGCGAATTGTCAGTTGCACATAATTTGGATGACTCATTATTAGTTACATTTTAGTACAATAGATGTCGTAATAAATGTTCTATTTAAATGACCCAATTTTTTAATTTAGCTCTATGTTTTAACTTAAAACGGTTTAATTTTGAAATTAAGATGATAAAACGATATTTTATATAATTTATAATGATATTTTAAAATAATTGTGTAACCGAACTAAATTTTAGAATTGGTTCATATCCCCGCTAAATGATTCACATTAATAACCAAAAGATGTCAGTCGAATTAAATAAATAATTAATAAAATTTAATAAATTCTTTATTATTGAACAAATTTACAACTTAGCTTTAATAAATTCATCATAATATTTCAATAAACCTTGCATATCTGAATAATTTGCATATCGACATGCTTCCTCCAACTCAAGCCATTTTCCATCTTGATGCTCATGGCTCAACTTAAAATTGGAAGATAAATCGATCAATTCAGCTAACCAATAAGTTACGGTTTTTGGACGACCTTTCACTTCATAATTCAAACATTTTTTGGAATCCTCAAACACCTTCAAATCGGTCTTTTTAAAACCGGCCTCCTCTTCAGTTTCACGATAAGCGGCAATAATATCAGTTTCGCCAGGATCTAAATGACCTAAACAAATTTAATAACTAAATTGTATTTAAAGGTGGTGATTATATGTTCTCACCTTTCGGAGGTGTCCAATGATGTTCACCATAAGATGTCTGCAATAATAGGTATTCAATTGAAGATGATACTCTTCGGAATATTACAAAACCAGCTGCTAACTTTGGCATTCTAGAACGTAAATTTAGCACTTAATTAAAGTATCTACGATAAAACATGGAATTAGTAAGATTGTTTAATGAATGACAGTTGGAATATAACCTCAACGTTGCTTTTTTTAACGATTTAATCGATTTTAAATTATACCACGACTATGAAACTTTTCATTAATAGAATAATAATTATAATTGCATAATTTATAATTAAATAAAAAAGTTAAAAGCAATTATTTTAATGATTATTAATTTAAAGTGACAGCTTAACATAACCACAAAATAAATTGTTGAATTGAATAAAAATAGCATTAAAAATACCCACCAATAGCGTTAATAAGCAAAGCAATAATATTATTTAATAAAATATTTCAAATTTGGGTTTAAATATATTTAAATTTATTAATAATTTAAAATTAGATCTCAATATGAAAGTGAAAGGGTCAAAAAAAATCTATGGCAAAGCACAAAATCTAATCATTTGTAAACAGAATTACATCGAACTGTTTATTTAATCTTAATACGTTTTTTCGAAATCGCACAAGTATTTCAACAAACATCACCCGAGCCAGATATAATGAGCACAATACAAGAAGGTTAGATAACCAGACTCACCTGAACATTAAATACAAAAAAAAATACTCATCGATAATACTAATAACAATGTTTTTATCGTTTTTTCGTAAAAAATTTACAGATCAAGACAAAGCAGACGGAAAATCCCGGCAGAAATCGATCGAAATCAAAAGCAACGATGAATTAAAATTCACCATTTATGGTAATAAAAACAATTTCCTAACCTAAAAAAATCATTAAATTGTAATCCCGTTCGTAATTCTAAATGAAAAGAAATTATCCGTAGATTTTATTAGAACCATAAAAGATCCAGAAAAACCAAACACTTTAGAAGAGCTCAATGTGGTTTATGAAGATGGTGTATTTGTAAGTTAATCTTAAACGATATAGCGATATAAATTAATTACGTTTTTAGATTTTAGAGAACACACCAACAAATGTTAACGTGGTTAGAGTTGAATTTAACCCGACCGTTCCCCACTGCTCATTAGCTACATTAATCGGACTTTGCATTCGTGTTAAATTAGAGCGATCAATTCCTTATCAGATCAAATTAGATATTTATATTAAAGAAGGAGCTCATGCTACTGAACATGAAAGTAACAGTTTTTATTTTGAGTCGATTAGAAATGTTATAACTTTCTTTTTTAGTTAATAAGCAAATAAATGATAAGGAGAGGATAGCGGCTGCAATGGAAAATCCTAATTTACGAGAAATGGTGGAAAGTTGTATTAAGGAAGAGGATTAATTATTTTATGCAAATAAATCTTGTTATTTAATATTAATGTTATTTTTGTTTCGACTTCTAAAAGATTTCTTTTTGTTAAATTTAAATGACATTGACGTTTTGTAGGTGAGGTTATGGTTTGATATCAATAAGGTTAAGCAATGGAATTCGAACTTTTTGATAATAAAAAGGCTTATTTTTAGTGAACTTAATTTTTTATTCTTCCAAATTTTAATTTGGGAAAGGTACTATTTGCTACAACTACAGTGTGTTATTAATTATCGTACCCCACATCATCATTGCAAGTATGCAACCAATATCACATGCAATACGCGATTTGTGTATTTGGTTGCATACTTGCAATGATAACGTCGAGTACGACAATGAATTGACACAATATATTTAAAGAAAAATGAATAATTACAAAAAAAAAGTGTTGCAAAATAAGTTAAACAGCCACGTAATAAATACATCTACTCGGTAATAAATGCCAAGGAAAAATTACATGTTCTCATCTCCATCTTTAAAAATCTTCGTTTCGACTGTAATTGTCACGTAACGTGTTAAATTTCTCAATCAATCCATCAACAGAAATTTCACCATGGACTACGTTATCTCTTGTACGGACATTAACAGTATTACTGCTACGCTCCTTTTCACCAACGACCAAAATAAAATTAAACTGCGCCAATTGAGCGTTGCGCACTTTCTTATTCATGGTGTCACCAGCGTCGGTGTCAACTTCACACATAAATCCAGCGTCGTAAATTTTCTTTCGGACTTCTTGTGCGTAATCATCAAAAGCGGGAGCGATTGGAATAACCATAGCTTGACGAGGAGACAACCAAAACGGCCATTTTCCAGCGTAAGATTCGGTTAAAATCGCTATCATTCGTTCAACTGAACCTAAAATGGCCCGATGGATCATAACAGGACGTTTCTTCTCTCCAGATTCGCTAACATAATTTAAATTGAACCTAATTGGTAATTGAAAATCTAATTGAATAGTAGCGCATTGATGCTGTCTGCGTAAAGCGTCCATTATTGTAATATCAATTTTCGGACCATAAAAAGCGCCATCTTCAGGGTTAAGTTTCCAAGGTTGTTTGAAATCATCTAAAGATTCACTAAGCGCCTAAAAGAACAAGATTAATTTTGATAAATTCGAAGACATAACATTTTTAACCTTTTCAGCTTCATTCCAAACTTCGACTTCGCCCAAAAACTTTTCGGGCCGCGTTGATAACACGAGATTAAACGTAAATCCGAATATCCCGTAAACATGTTGTAAAAAGTCTAGGGCTCCTTTAATCTCGTCTTTAATTTGCTCAATCGCGCAAAATATATGCGCGTCATCTTGTTGGAATCGCCTAACTCTCGTTAATCCAGTGAGGGCTCCGGATAATTCGTTACGATGTAAAACACCGAAATCGGCCAAACGTAAAGGAAGTTCGCGCCATGAACGATTACGATTGTCAAAAATCAAACAATGACCTGGACAATTCATTGGTTTTAAAGCAAATTTTTCTTTTTCAATGTCAAAAGAAAACATGTTATCCTTAAAAAAATTAGTTAAAAAATAATTCAAAGTTATGCGAGGGGGGATTTTCGACTTACTGAGTAATGAGCCCAATGCCCTGAAGTTTGCCAAAGTTTAACGTTGTAGATGTTAGGTGAAACAACTTCTTGAAATCCTCGCTTTTTGTATTCTTTCTTGATAAAATTAATTAGAGTGTTGTAAATGTGAGCACCGCGGGGTTGGAAAAAACACGAACCGGGTGATAACTCATGGAAAAAGAATAATTCTTGTTCCTAAGTAAAAAGATTATTTATTAACAAAGTTTGAGGACACCTTGATAGTATTTACCCTTCCGATTTTCCGATGATCTCTTTTTGCAGCTTCCTCTTGAATCTTTTCCCACTCTTTTAATTGTTTTGAATCGGGAAAACTAATTCCGTAAATTCTTTGAAGAGTTTCCGCATCAGCTTTACCTTCCCAATAAGTTGAAGAGTTCTAAAAAATAATCATCAAACTTTGTGAAGATGTGTAATATGTAACTAGAATTGCAGGTTTACAGTAAATGGATTGTGGACGAGAAGAGGGCGCAGAAAAGTGAGTTATGAAGGAAAGATTGAGCTGATAATCGTAGTATGTTGAATGAATTGAAAACAATAGACCAAAGTGGTGAGTTTGACAATAATATATATAAAATGGGAACGAGATTTATTAGGAAGAGAGAAGGATCTAATAAAACGAGAGAGGGTTTTATTAGAAAAAGAGAGAAACAAAAACAGATACGGTACAAGACAAATGGATAATAGAGGTAATGTGAATTTCCTCCCTAAATTTAACCCCGATGTTGTTAACTCATTAACAGCACCACAATGGGTGACGAAATCGGAAATAACTGCTAACATTTTTGGATGGGATGAGGATAATCTGTTGTTTAATGCTATTTCCAAGCTTGAGGGGGCAGCAAAATTAAGGTATGATGGAGCACAGAGTGAAATTCATGATTGGAAGACTTTTAAAACGGCGATTAGTCACAGAGATTTAATGAATCATATGAAAATTACGTATTCAACATGAAAGCAACAGGTAATAAAGGGGAAGTCAGTGAAAGAGCTATTATTAAATACTTGTGAGTATAATGAGATTTATATGATAAAGATTTGGGTAAAGCATTATTCTCCAGAAATAATTGAAAAAACGTTCCAAACCAAGACAATTCCGAACCAAATGATATAAACAAGATCAAATGTTATAATTGTGAAGAACAGAGTTGCTACAAAATGTACAAAACCTAAACAGAGAAAATGTTTTAAATATAATCAAGATGGACATTTCCAATAAATTGTAAATCGGGAAGAATCGAATTGGAAAACAATTAGACCTTGTGGGCGAGTATCATAAGATTGTAGAGATTAATGGACGAAAATTGATTGGTTTCGTTGATTTGAGAAGTGATGGTAGAACGATTTGTGAACATAAAGCGAAAGACTTGGAATTGATTTACAATTTTTTGTAGGTTGTAGGTTTTAATTCACAGGATTTGGCGGAGGACGTTGTGTACCGATTGGAACAGTTATATCGAATTTATTGGTAGATGGAATAACATTAGATGTAGAATTAATTGTTGTGATAAGTAGGGCACGGAACTTTTGTAACAAAACGATACGATTTTCCCCCTCCACTCGTTCTGAGCAGAAAATTTCATACAAAAGTTGTTCTAAATTAAATTCTACAATAAAAAATAAATATATAAAAATTTTTTTGACGTTATGTTCTTAATTATTGATCAAATCAAAAATTTTTATTAACAATATTTGTTTAGAATTACTTCAGGAACAGTGTTTATTAATACAATTTTTTGCTAACTTGAAATTTTAATTTCCCTCTGAATAGTATGCTATCAAAATTAATTATCTCAATAATTATTGTTTTTATCAAAAAATGTTTTAAATAAAATTTGTTTCAATTTCGATTTTGAATCAATTATCTTAATAAAAAATTTTTACATCTCTATTAATTAAGCATCTAAGTATAATTATGTATAAAAACGGAAAAATTATTATTTTGAGGTTATCTCCTTAATTATTGATTAAATCAAAAAAAATTGTTGACAAAGTTTGTTTAGAATTGTTTCAGGAACAATTTTTGTTAACACAATTTTTTTCTAACTTGAAATTTTAATTTCCCACTGAACAGTATGCTACAAAAATTAATATTTTTGAGGTTATATCCTTATTGTTGATTTAATCAAAAAATGTTGTTAACAAAATTTGTTTAGAATTACTTCAGGAACAGTGTTTGTTAATACAATTTTTTGCTAACTTGAAATTTTAATTTCCCTCTGAATAGTATGCTATCAAAATTAATTATCTCAATAATTATTGTTTTTATCAAAAAATGTTTTAAATAAAATTTGTTTCAATTTCGATTTTGAATCAATTATCTTAATAAAAAATTTTTACATCTCTATTAATTAAGCATCTAAGTATAATTATGTATAAAAACGGAAAAATTATTATTTTGAGGTTATCTCCTTAATTATTGATTAAATCAAAAAAAATTGTTGACAAAGTTTGTTTAGAATTGTTTCAGGAACAATTTTTGTTAACACAATTTTTTTCTAACTTGAAATTTTAATTTCCCACTGAATAGTATGCTACAAAAATTAATATTTTTGAGGTTATATCCTTATTGTTGATTTAATCAAAAAATGTTGTTAACAAAATTTGTTTAGAATTACTTCAGGAACAGTGTTTGTTAATACAATTTTTTGCTAACTTGAAATTTTAATTTCCCTCTGAATAGTATGCTATCAAAATTAATTATCTCAATAATTATTGTTTTTATCAAAAAATGTTTTAAATAAAATTTGTTTCAATTTCGATTTTGAATCAATTATCTTAATAAAAAATTTTTACATCTCTATTAATTAAGCATCTAAGTATAATTATGTATAAAAACGGAAAAATTATTATTTTGAGGTTATCTCCTTAATTATTGATTAAATCAAAAAAAAATGTTGACAAAGTTTGTTTAGAATTGTTTCAGGAACAATTTTTGTTAACACAATTTTTTTCTGACTTGAAATTTTAATTTCCCACTGAACAGTATGCTACAAAAATTAATATTTTTGAGGTTATATCCTTATTGTTGATTTAATCAAAAAATGTTGTTAACAAAATTTGTTTAGAATTACTGCAGGAACAGTGTTTATTAATACAATTTTTTGCTAACTTGAAATTTTAATTTCCCACTGAATAAAATGCTGTTCTTTTAATCAAGATTTTCTCAGCGGACGCCATTGAGAACGAGTGGAGGGGGGAAATCGTATCGTTTTGTTACAAAAGTTCTGTGCCCTGGTGATAAGTCACAGAAGGAATCCACGATTATTGGGAGAAATGCTGTTGATCAACCAAGTATTTGAATCATAAAGGAACACAATCTATGGACAATAACCAAAGTTGAAAAAGAACCTGAAGAGGAAATAAGCATTGAAGAAGTGGAAATTGAAAAGTGGATAACCATGAGAAAGATAAGTTGTACAAGTTATTTAATCAACAAACTTTTCTGAATTGAGATGTACTGAGTTGGTAGAGATGAAAATTGATTTAACTAGTTGTGAACCCATTACATGTCGTCCAAACTTACAACGTGAAATTGTAGAACAACAAGTGGAAGAATTATTACAGGCTGGAATATCAACATCTGAGTATGCAAGTCCAGTAGGGCTTGTTGGGAAGAGAAATGGAGGTGAGAGATTATGCATTAATTTTAGGCGACTGAACGCGATTACTAAAAAGGAGTAAATGCCTTCTATTGAAGATCAACTGAATTAGTTAACTGCAAAAAAATACTTTACTAGTGTCAGAAAGTCGATATTTAACTGCTTTTGTTATGAATGGTGGATTGTATGAATTTAATCTGACAAAGAAAATTGAACCTGACATTGCTTTAGCATATATGGATGACATCTTAATACCAAGTAATACCATCAATGAAGGTATAGAAAAGCTTAGAATATTCCTCAGTGTGTTAAAAGATGAGGGATTAACAGTAAGATTGAAAAAATGTAAATTCCACATTTCACAATTCCAAAATTAAAAAATAAAATCTTTCACTTGATATTTTACCTTAATAACTTTCAAAGCCTTAATTTTGCCGGTATGCCTAACATGAGGACCTCTACACAAATCAATGAGAGGTCCACACCGATAAACAGTAGTTGTTGGAGTGTTAACTTTTTCATTCAAAATCCTTAATTTAAACGGATTATAATCAAACATCTTCAACAAATCTTCTTTTTTCATTTCGAGACGTTCAAATGGTTGTTTTTCTTTAACAATATCTTTCATTAATTTTTCAATAACGGGAAAATCCGATGCGGATATCTAAAAAAATACTTTTTAAAAACGTCAATTTAGAAGATGAATGCTTTACCCCTTTTTCGTTCATGTACATATCGTAATAATACCCTGATTCAATTGGGGGACCATAACACAAACAACTACCATAAATTCTTTCTGCAGCTTCGCCTAAAATATGAGCGGAGGAGTGCCAAAATACAGCTTGTGCTTCAGGATCGTCAAATTTCAATAATTCTAATTTGCAATCACTTTCAAGAGGACGATCCAAATCCCATACAACTCCGTTTACTTTTGCTATAACTGTGTTATCTGCTAAACCTTGGCTATAAGAAATATTAATTAATAAAAATTCTTCAAAAGAGGGTTATAATAATTAGGGTAAATAAACTGGCAAAAGATGGCGCTGTGGTCAAAATAAATAAATGTATTTATTACAAAACCCTTCTTTAGACGAATAATAAATAAACTAAAACTTAAAAGCAATAATTTTTTTGTTTGTTTTTGTGTTATTTCCTTTCTAGTTTTTGTGTAATGCTTTTATAATTTTTGAAACCCAATATTAGCGCCATCTTTTAACCAATAAGTTAAAAATTATTTTTAATTATGCTACTTTAATACAATTTTTATTTTCGATTATACAAAAAAAAATCTTTTATGTTCTTTGCATGCACTAAAATGCATTAAATTATTTTCAAATAGTTTTTAAATTTCATTTAAACATTTTAAAATTTTTTAAACATCTTTAGCGCCATCTTTTGACCATCACTTTCATAACTTTAAATCTTTTTAAAGTTACAAATTTTAACCCAACAAAATTCAAGATTAGATAAAGAAAAACAAGGTTTTCCTCTCAAATTAAGTAAATTAAAAAATTTTAATTTAATTCATTTTAAAATAAAAACTAACCTTATTCCTTTTGCAACATCATAAGCTGTTGTACTCCAAGACACTGCCTCAACAACTTTACCATCAGGTAAAGTAACCTTAATAGGATTTTTATCTTTCTTAGCTAATTCCTCATCATACTGATTCTTGAGTTTATCCCAAATAACTAATCTTTCCTGAATATACGAAGGCCATGGTTTCAACTCCGTAACACTGCTTTTATCACCTCCGCCTTTTTTATCTTTACCTTTTTCTTTCATTTTAGGTGCCTGTGAACATAAGATTATACTAAAATCTTTTTATAATAAAAATTGCTGACAGAAACTTTTAGTTTGAGAGAAGGGGAACTATTGATTTTCTTTTACGTAAAAATACCGCGTAATTACATCACCTATAAGGTGAAAATTGCTGACGAAACATGGCAAAAATTGAAATAATAACACGTTACGCGTGTTCGGAATTTACAAACCAAAGTGGCGAATGTTTGGCGATACAGCGGAAGAAAAGTTCTATGCGAAATTAAAACTTTTAACATCTTAGCAAAAATAAGATTTAAGAATATGTTGTGTTCATGCCTTTTCCTCTTTATTCAAGTCCATATTTTCTACCGCTTGAACCACGTTGTCGCCCATTTCACTCACACTATAACTGACAGTTGACAGAAACAAGTTGACATTAGATATAAAAATTATTAGATCAAATAATCGTAAAAGTTTCAAAAATATCTTCTGATGATTCTAAAAAGATAAAACGTATTAAAATAAAATTTGTATCTTAATAATTAAATTAAGATTATTCAATAAATTAATTTTGATTCTATTATTTTTACGTTATCCATATTGACATAATCTGTCAAAACAAAAAAAGTTATTTGATTTTTATAGGTTAAAATATTACCCATATTTCAAATTCGTTTTAATCAAAAAATGAATATTTTAAACCCCCACAATAACAACAAATTAAATATGAATCGATCGTTATTCGATAATGTACTCGATGATTACTCTTCAACGAGTAGTTTAAGCGGTAGCAGCGAAAAACGTAGCGATTTTGAGGTTAGCAACGTTCTTGAAAATATAATAATGGAAAATAGAAGGATGGAAAATTGTTATGATGATACGGGAATGTACAATGAAATATGCGACGATGAAATTATGTTCTCAGCAAGTCACGATATTATCGATGAAAGCCATAGATTGTATAAATATCATTTACGTAGGGAAGCTTTGCTTAGCGGCTTCTCTGTACCTGAGTATGTAATTCATGGTCGTTATCCAGAACATATGAATGCTCTTATTGAGTTGGCTGATCGGTTTCGGGCATCTCCACAAAGGCTTTGGGTTCATGATCAGGCACAAAATGTTGATTTGGAGAGTTTAAATTTTCAAAGTTTTCAAGATTTATTAGATGGGTTATTTCAGGTTGGATTAAAAAAATTATTCTTTTGGATTATGTTAGTTTGTTTTTTGTGTTTTAGGAAGGAGGTGTAACATACGAACGGGTTCTTGTTTTATTTTTCTTTTGCACTGATTTAACAATACGGGCGTTTAGTGAGAAATTATTGGAATATTTTCATAGAATTAATCAATGGATTACTTCTTACATAGGAAATAGGCTTTCCTTATGGATCGAGGAACAAGGTGGATGGGTAAAAATAAATAATTTTGTATTCTGACTTTAAGCATTTTGTAATAATGATTTTTTTAGGGTGCTGTTTTACATCATTCAGTCACTACAGTAACAAAGTATGCATTCATGACGTTTTGTTGTTTAGGCATTATAGCCCTTGCAATTTATATTAAAAGTAAACATCATTCCTCTGTGTGATTGTTCATGTTTGTTTATGAATTCATCGATTTGCAAGAAATTTATTACTTTTTTGATCTCAATTATAAAATAATATCTTTACATAGATGATATAAAAGCAATCAAGAACTGAATGCATCTTAATATTTATCTAGTTATAACAATAATTATTATTGAAAAGATATTAATGTGATTTTAGTAGTATTTTTTTTTTAATTTGTTCAGAGTTCCTAGTAAATGTAGTGTTTTTTTCTGAATTATAGATGTACTTATGCAATTTTTTCTAATGTAAATTAATAAAAAAATTTTGTACCTACTTTAGAAGTTCAATGTTGTTTACTTCATTAATTCTATTTATATCCAAACTATAACAAAATATGCATTTTATTACTAATCAATTGAAAATATTTAATAATGTGGTTGTTTTTTTAACCACAATTGCATACACATATATAATTAAAAATATCAAATTAATATTATTACAAAACAATGAAAAAAAATGCTGACCTTTTAATCTCTTTGTCTGTTACAACAAAAAGAATTTTCCGGAAATGATCAATTTAATGATTTTTTTTTATTTTCTTGAAAATGGAATTTCCAAATATCTCTTAGTAATAAAGAATATCAAGATAAATTACAAAAAGCCCGTTTTTTTTTCCTTTTATCTTTTGTTGTGATACCGGAAAGCAGAAAAGATACATGCGAAACAAATTTCCGCCTGAATCAGACTTCAAAATGATTCAGAAACCACAACAAAAAATCTAAAATTCAGCGCCGCTATAAATTGGAATCGTTCAATAACGATTTAATCAGTTCGTTTAACTCAATTCGGTAATTAACATCAAGAAGAGTAATTAAAATGGGGCTTATATACGTAAGTACAAGATTTTTTTGTTTAATATTTGATTTTAATTAATTTTTTCATTCACCCAGGTTTTTCTTTTAATATTTCTTACATCGACAGCAAACTCATCCTCAAATTACTCACCAGAAAGTGACAATTCGCTCGAAAATTACGAAGATAACAATTTATTCATCGATCTTTTGTCGTATGCAGCAACTTTAAGTGATACCGATTTAGATAAATTTCTTAACGAAGATGACACCGACGATATTTTTTCATTGAATATCGTTAAATCAAGAGCGAAAAGAGAGTTGCCCGAATGGGCTAGGATTTTAATTAAATGTACCGTTAAAATTTTTTTCCCCGATTCGCAATTGCTAAATTTAATAACCGATGTTGAAAAGTTGTTTGATAATAACGTTTTGGATGTTAAGGTGATTGTCGATGAAATGTCAGTTAAATACGAACTTATGGAAGCGGAGAAGAACGACGGGGTGATACAAAAGAGATCTGTGGAAGGTATTCAATCATTTTTTGAGGATTCTTGCGTTCGGGAGGCTATAAATTATGGCATTAAAAACCGAGAGAAAATAAAGAAGGCTTTTAAGAAATCGGTTGAGTGGGGCAAAGAGAAGATTAGGAAGTTGAGGGAGAGCAAGGGATGGAAGAAAATGAAGGATTTCTTTCGGGGATAGTAATAAGTTGTAATTAAAGTTATAATTTTGTATAAAGTTTTTTAATAAATGAAGTTGAGTTAAAATATAATCGTTTGTTAATAACATTTTTCATAAATATGATAAATTATTAATATTTTGAAGCAATTTACGTACCTGAAAGTTAAAAGGATCGGAGGAACCAGAAATACAAAATAAAATAAGAACTTACTTTGCCTTATCAAATGTATTCCGCTCCCAGAGCCTCAAAAATCTATAAACCATTAGACCTACACTGTGAATAACTATTTGAAAGAAAAATACTGAGGAAAATCTTTGGTTCATTAAAGAAAAATCTATTCAAGGAAGCCTCTATATCAGAATTCGTTAAGTTGCAAAATCTGCAATGGGCTAGTTATATGGGATGAATGAGGAAGAATAGAATGTCAAAAAGGGTCTTAAGTAGCAGAATACAAGACAAGAGACCGTGAGGGAGGCGAAAACGATGGAAGGACAAAGTGATCAAAGTGACTCATGAGCGGCAGAACTTGGAAGAGAGTACCTCTTAATCGGCAGTATTGGAAGCTTCTATCTCATAATTCGTCAAGCAGCAAAAACTGCAATGGGCTAGTCATATGGCATGAATGAGCAAGAATAGAATGCCAAAACGAGTGTTAAGCAGTAGAATACAAGGCAAGATTATATCAGAACTATATCAGAACTTGGAAGAGAGTAACTCTTAATTGGCAGTATTGGAAGCTTCTATCTCAGAATTCGCCAAGCTGCAAAAACTGCAATGGGTTGTCATATGGCATGAATGAGCAAGGATAGAATGTCAAAAAGGCTCTTAAGTGGCAGAATACAAAGACTAAAAGACTAAAAAGACTAAATGATGGCGGACGCACAATGCCTCATGAGAACTAGGAAGAAAGTATCTCTTAATCTGCAGTATTGGAGGTAATAGATAAAGGAATGAAAAAGTAATCCAAGAAATAGATTATTGACGAAATGTTCTATATGGTGGATTATCGTATTTGTTCAAGAAAATTTTGGGTTGGGTTACAATTTATATGTTAGCTCAAGAAATTTCTGTTTGGTTTTAAAATAAAGTTTTGGTAATTGATAAAAACAACTCTATATCGAACCTTACAACAAACCTTAATCAATAAATTCAACTTATCATGTATCATATTTTTATTAAAAAAACCATATTTTTTATCGATTCAAACTTTTCGATTTAAAATTAACACAAAATATGAGATGAATCATAAAGAAAATAAGAATATTTTTAACAACAAGTTGACTCATACACAAATTTTTTGTTAGTTTTCTTTTCAATTAGTTCGATGGCAAGACGTAAATGTTATTTCCAGAATTGTTTAATGTGTAAATAAAGTAAAAAATACGAAAGCGGACAAAAAAAATCGCATCTTTTAATTAAAAAAAAAATAAAACTTCACTAATTTTTTTTTCGTTGGTAAATAAAAAACTTGCTATATTTCTCTTAAATAAATGTTGTCTCTTTGTAGTTGCTGAATCATATTATTTTATTTTTTACGGGAATCCTCAAATCCGTCTGTATAATGCACTCTGTCCTTGACCACCATGAAAGAACCCAGCAGGGTCATCACCCGTGAAACCGTCCCACCACTATATAAAGAAGATAAATCCTCGCGAAGACGATCCAGAACAAGTAGTGATACAGAAACTACAAGATGATAATCAAATATGTAAGTACCAGTCTTTTTCCACTTATTTACCATCGACGTTTAACTTCCAATACTAACACAAACAAATTTATGGGTGTTAATAAATGTTTTTAAACTTGCACGAAAAACATCTCTTATTTTCCAATTTTTTAAGTTTTTTTTAAGATATTTAAATTTAAATTACATCTTGAGCAACCACCTAACGGTTCATAATCTTATAATCAGCGATAAAAATTTCATTGATGAAATCGAGTAGATTAAAGATAAAAGTACTATTAGTTTTAGGAAAGATTTTGAAATAAATTGAATAAATATTTTATTTCAGATTTTATTCTTCACCTTAGCAGCAGCAACAATCGCTTTACCTTTAGATTCTTCGGGCCCTCAATCATCAGAAACAGAAAAAAATGATGTAATTACCAGCCCATCTATTGAAAATGAACCTGAAGATAATCCTGCAATTTTAACTTCTGATGAAATCTCCAAAAACGACAATAATAAAGATTTATTACCTTCAGATGTAACTACCAATCCAAGTGATGAAGAAAAATCAGATTTAGATACTGCCAATACTTTTGGGTTTGGTTACGGAGGTTGGGGTGGATACAGACCGTATTTTGGTGGTTATAGGCCATATTATGGTTATGGTGGAGGTTGGAGAGGCTATGGCTACGGAGGATTTGGTGGCGGTTTTGGATTTTATGGAAGGTCGTATCATCCGTGGGGTTGGAGGCATAATTATTATTATTGAAACAAATATTAATTCGATTTCAAAAATAAATCACATTCAATTTTAAAAGACTTGGATATTAAATAAATGTTTTTCTTTTAAAACGGACCAAAATGTATTTGTTAATCAAATCGCTACTTACTTCATAGAAATAAATTAATTAATATAAATATATATAATTTTCTTTTCAAACTCAACATTCAAACATTAATCCTTTAATTAAAATTGATTAAAAGTGCATTTTTTGAGGATCTGCGAAGATTTCGGAAAACTGTAAAGATAAGAATGATTAATGATGATCAATTATGCTGTTGAAATTAAGAGAAAGCAAGTTTGGTATCAGTTTTTACTATTTTTCTTATGTCAATAAGAAAAGCTACTTGTATTTATTGATAAATACAATAACCCATACTGATAACATACGATAAGATAACTTTACCAAGTAGCAATAATTTTTTTTAATGAACTATAAACTATATCTTAAAGTATGTTTTAAACCATTTTAAAGTAACACCTAAAATCAAAACTTTTAACATGGAAAACGAAAGCGATGACATCATTAATAACGATTCTGTACACGAAAATGAAACTGAAATTGTAGATGGTCCACCCAGTTCTATAAAAGAAGAAGACAAAGAATCCATTGAGCAAACACAAGACATTGATGTAAACACAATCGTTCAAGGTAAGAATAGGTTTATATTCATTCATTCATTCAAATTCATTCAAACTGCATAAGCAAACTGGAAATAAATGTGGTTGCATAAAAAAGTACAATACATATTATGCAAATTCAAACATTTAAAAATCTCTCCCAGTTTATTCACCCTATTAACATAATTTTAGCCACAACGGAACCGCAAATTGAAATGTTCCATGAAGACGCAAAAAATTTCCTTATAAATTTTTTAATTGAAAAAGATTACAAGGATATTAAACTAGAATTAGAACCTGGAAGTAATTTGGGCGATAATTTCATGGGTTTTATTGGTAAATTAACAATAACAGCTGTAGACCAATCCGATCAAAATAAAACTTTTAATTGGATCGTTAAAACAGCACCAAGTATAGAACATTATCGGACTGCTTTAAACATTGAAAAATGTTATCGTCGCGAATCTTACATCTACAGCGAAGTATTTCGGATTTTCGATCAATTTCAACTTGAAAAACAAGTTTTAAACCCGTTTTGTGATCACCCCAAATTTGTTTTATCATATTTAGAGAATTGTCATGAAACAATTGTAATGGAAAATATCAAAAATGATGGTTATGTTATGCGTCCGAGACAAGAACCGTTAGATTTAAATCATGTAAAATTGGTGATGAAAGCTTATGGTAAATTACACGCGTTATCTTTTGCACTGAAAGATCAAAAACCGGATGTTTTTAAAAGATTTGTTGAAAATACCCCGGATATTGTACAACATTCCATTGTGAACGGGCTCGCTAAAGAAATGCAAAAATTGGGATTACAATTATCATTGGGTGTTTTAGATCCAGTAAAAGAAGCAAAAATTTTAAATGTTTATAAAAAATTTGTTGATAACTATTTAGATGTTGTTATTAAATTGTTGCAAGATACAAATGAGAGGGCAGTTATCGGACATGGAGATTGTTGGGTTAACAATATGTTATGGAAATATGAAGTAAGTTTAATTTTAAATTAAACGTAATAATTTTCATTTTTTTTTTAGTTATCAAATCAAAACATACCAACAAAAGTATGTTTATTAGATTGGCAATTATCCCGATATGGTTCCCTAGCTTGTGATTTATCTTACTTCTTTTTTACCGCTACAACAAAAGAATTCCGAGACCAACATTACGATAACATGATAAAACTTTATTATTATACTTTATGTGGTCAGTTAAATGAACTTGGAAGTGATCCACAAAAACTTTTATCTTTCGATGAATTGCAAGAGGAACTTGAGAAGTATTCTTTGGTTGGAATTAATATGGCAATACCGTTACTCGGGGTTATAACCAGAGATTCCGGTGATATTCCAGAATGGAGATCAGATGATGTTAATCCTGAAGAAGTACAACAACAGTGGGCTGTAGTTGGAAAAAATGCTGATGTTTATGCACAAAGAGTACGGGGAGTTATTATCGATGCATATGAAAAAGGATATTTTAAAATTTTGAATAAATTTATATAATTGTTTTAAGGTTTGTTTAAGATTATGTTAATTAATTTTGATAATAAAGCTATGTTTTGTATGATTTTTGTGTATTAAAGTAAATATGCGTAAGTTGGGTTGCCTAAAATTAAAGTAAAATTTTGACAATGCATTTGCAATACTATTTATTACAACAATTTTGAAACATTGAAAATACACTGGAGTTAAAGTATCTTAATCATTTCTAATTAACTTAAGAAATAGATTTTTTGTAGATTTTATAGATATCTTAATATTAATTCGAAGTTTAGATAACTATTAATAGATGTCAGCACTAAATACGAGATCAAACTCGCAATATTTGCTTAATTTTATCTATTTTAAGCCCACTCAAAGCTTCTGTATGTTATTCGGGTGTGTACCGTTTTGTTAACATATCCGTGTCCAAATTTTTATATTTTATATTTATTATTAGGTAAGTTGAATTAAATTTAAATTCAAATGAGCTTTCATTTAAACATTTTATAATGAATCAAAATAGGTGGTGTTATAATCGTATTATTTTTTTAAATGCAAATTATTAACATATATTACAGTTAAGCAAAATACATACATAGTTTTTTTTCTGTCACACCTGTCAAAGTCAATTTGGTACATACTGTTGTGTGCCTTATCGTGGCGAGAGGGGTCGCTCCCCTCAGCCCGACAGCAATAATAACAATAAATACAATTTTAAACGAAGTACAAATTACTGTAAAAATGAGCTACAAAATAAAGAAAATAAACAATTAGATATCAAATTTCAATTATTTAAGTCTATTTAAATATTTAAAGTTCAAACGTCAATTTTGACAAGTCGATTCAAACCAACTGTTACCAACGTCACAACAAATTTGACAGGTATTATAGAAAAAAGCAGACTGTAATATTAAATAATTAAATTTTTATTTTCTTTTACATTTTTTTAATAATTTTGTTAATAAATGTTAATTTCAGCTTGAATTAAACAATAACTTAATATATTTTATTAATACATATAACATATTATAAATATTTACACACCCTTTAAACATCTTAACTTATAGCAATAAAAAAAAAATAAGACCGTTTATAAAAATGATTGACCCAAGCATGTTAACACTTTCGGACAATGTGAAAACACACATCATCACCTTCTTAGAAAAAAAAGGGTACACAAACATAACAATGGATGTTGAATCAGGAAGTAATATCGGAGACAATTTCATGGGTTTCATCGGGAAACTTACAATAACAACTCTTGATGATAAAGAACAACCAAAAGTATTTAATTGGGTTGTAAAAACATGCCCAAATCTTGATTTGCCCGACGCCGGAATCAATATAAGCGTTAGTTATTTACGAGAATCTTACATTTACACTGACGTTTTACCAACTTTTCGTCAATTTCAAGCTGAAAAAGGCGTTATAAACCCTTTTCGTGAATATCCCGAATTCGTTTTATCATATTTGGAAGGTACCCATAAAAGTATTGTAATGGAAAATATAAAATTAAAAGGATATGTATTGAAAAATCGCCAAGAACCTTTAGATTTGAATCATGTTAAATTGGCGATGAAAACTTATGCTAAATTACATGCTGTTTCTTTTGCTTTGAGAGATCAAAAGCCGGATGTTTTCAAAAAGCTGGCTGAAAACACTGTTGATATCGTAAAAGATGTTATCAGTAATGAAGGTATACGTCAAATACAAGCGATTGGATATCAATTGCCTTTTAGCGCTTTGGATCCTAAAACGGACGGGAACGCTTTGGCTGCGTACAAAAAATTTGTTGATAATTATGTGGATGTGATCGTCGAGCTTTTTGAAAGTACAAACGATAAGGCTGTTATCTCACATGGGGACTGTTGGATTAATAATCTTTTATGGCAATATGAAGTAAATTAAAAAAACAACTTACAAACGTTACGTTAAAATTAATTATTTTTTAGATACCAGATTCAAAAATTCCAACAAACGTATGTGTCTTGGACTGGCAACAATCTCGTTGTGGTTCCCTAGCAATTGATTTATTATATTTCTTATTTACCGGCACCACAAAAGAATTCAGAGAAGAACACTTTGATAACATGATAAAACTTTATTATTACACGTTGTGTGGCCAGATAAACGAGATAGGTAGTGATCCGGAAAAGCTTTTGTCATTCGATGATTTGCAAGATCAACTAAAAAAATATTCTTTAGTTGGAATGTTTATAGCGATACCTTTACTGCTTATTATCACTCGTAATTATACAATCGAAAAACCCGAAGTTAATATGGAAGAGGTGAAAGATATGAGTGTTTTTGTTGATACGCAGAAGCAATGGCTTATGGCCGGTGTAAATATGGAAGCTTATACTAGTAGGGTGAGGGGTGTCATTGTTGATGCTTATGAAAAAGGGTATTTTAAACAAATTTTGTAATAACACCGTTTTGGTATTTTATGTTATGATTTTATACAGTACAAATTAATTTTTTTAATAACAAATGTATTCTTGTAATATTGTTGTACCTATTTGTTGATGTATACTTTTATGGTTGATGTAATACATAATGTATGAATAAATTAATATATTTAAAACATTTCTATTACTGCCACTAAGCCGTATAAGGTCATATTTAGAAGCAGGGATGATTGGATGATGGGTGAGCCTCAACTTAAAAGAAGAGCCCATACCGATGCTTCAAAGATAGTTGGATCCGATTAAATTGCTCCTCAGTTTGGACATAACCATTTTTCAAGCAGAAGTTCTTGCTATAAACTTCTGCTTCGTTTTGAACGTAGAAAAGGGACAGAAAGATGCATTGATAAACATTTTCACGGACAGTCAGGCCACCCTAAAAGCAATAATATTTGGAGGGCAGCAATAATAATAATTATTGCCACTTGTCAGAAAAAGCAAAAACTGATTTCTATGTCGAATTTGTCCATATCCGATACTGGGTGGACCTCATCAACGATTGAATCTACCAGATAGCTCATATTTGCCAACTTTAGATACCAAAAATGTATTAAAATCATTTACTATAAATTCTATAAAACTACAATTAATCTTTAGCATCAAGTTGTAAAAAAAACATGGTTCATTTCTACAAGTTATCAAACATTTCTAATAACTTTTTAATTCTAGAAGAATAGAAAAATAGATAAAAAACTTCATCAGTACAATTTCACTGCAATTATCCCCTCTTTTAAATTCATTTGAACATAACATGTATTTATTCACTTGTAAGATATCGATCAATTCAAAAGAGAAGTGATCATCAAACGTTATTAATGGAAGTTCAAATGATAAATAGTGTAAAAACGGCTTTAGATGTACTAATTGCTAAAGAGAAAATAAAAACTCCTGTAAAATTAGATGTAAATAAAGGTTCCGATGTAGGAGATGGATTTATATCGAAAAATTACGCAGTTTCAATTAAAGGTAATGATGATAAAACATTAAGTTTATTCGTAAAATATTTGCCAGAAGAAATCAGTGGAGTCTTTAAAACCATTTTTGTAAAAGCTTTTCAAACTGAACGTAGATTTTACGAAGAAATATATCCAGAGTTTAATAAATTTCAATTAAACAAAAAAATTAATGATCCATTTAATAATATTCCTGAGTATTATAAAACGAAGGTTAATAACGGTGACGCACCTTTAATTATTATGGAAAATTTAAAATGTTTAAATTACATTTTAAGAGATGTTAAAACTCCTATTGATGATTCTCATTTGAGATCAATAATCAATAATATCAATAAAAGCTTATGCTAGATACCATGCAATTTCTTATGCCCTAAAAGATCAAGACTTTGAAACTTTTAAACGTCTTTCCGAAGATTTAGGAGACTTTTTTAGTGACAGTTTTGAAACTGTTGGGTTACAAACAATGTTAATAAGCTCTGTTAATCAATTCATTGATAGTTTGGATCCCGTTTTGGATAAAATCATATTGGGACGTTGCAACAATCTCTTAGACCGTTTAAGTGGGGCTATTAAAAATAACCGAGAAAAAGCTGATGAATATGCTGTAATTTCCCAAGGAGATTGTCGATCAAACAATTTAATGTTCCTTTATAACGTAAGTAACAAAAATTAAATGTTATTGTTTATTAATTTTTTTTTATTTTAGGATCAAAATCAGCCAATCGATGTTAAATTAATTGATTGGCAATGTATAAGGTATAATTCACCGCTGTTGGATTTTAGTTACTTTTTTTATACATTATCCACAAAAGAAACTTTGGATAAGATTAAAACTTACTTAAATTTTTATTACGAATCCCTATGCGAAAGGATTATTGAGTTAGGAAGTGATCCAAAAAAGTTATTTCCTCGTGAAGTTTTTATAGATCATTGGAGAAAATTCGCACCTTTCGGCCTTGCCTTATCATTTTGTGTGATTAAATTGCAGTTGTTTGAAAAGGATGAAGTCCCTGACTTTTTTGAGAAGCAAGAGTTTGATACCGATTCGTTAACTCATGTTAATAAAAATCACAAGGATTATATTGATAGAGTTAAAGTTATTATGCAACATTTTATTGATAATAATTTAATATAAATTTAAAATAAATGTATAAAAATGTGTGATTGACGTAAATATATGAATTAAATTTTGTAACGAAATTACAATGTAAATTTTGTATAGATTTTTAATGTTTTTAATAAAAAGGTGATATTAATTATTTTAGTATTATAATTTTATAATAAAACCGTATATGTTACTATTTCACAGCGTTCATAGTTCCTGAGATATTCAACTGTTCTTCCTAAATGTGCCCATTACAGGATCTTTTTAAAAACGATGTAAAATCGACATTTTTTCCGATTTTTCCTTGAAACTACGTCAAACAATAGTCAAAGCCAGTAGGTAGATGATAGTATTCAAAGATATTAGATACTCTATACAGGATGTTTATACAGCTTAGTTACTTTTGATGTTTTTCAAATGACAAAAAGTTTTTTAAATGGAACACGCTGTATGTTGTGTGCTAATTAAATTGCTCATCACCAGGGCACGGAACTTTTGTAACAAAACGATACGATTTCCCCCCCCCCCACTCGTTCTCAGTGGCGTCCGCTGAGAAAATCTAATAAAATTAATAAAATTTTTTATTAAGATAATTGATTCAAAATCGAAATTGAAACAAATTTTATTTAAAACATTTTTTGATAAAAACAATAATTATGGAGATAATTAATTTTGATAGCATACTATTCAGAGGGAAATTAAAATTTCAACTTAGCAAAAAATTGTATTAACAAACACTGTTCCTGAAGTAATTCTAAACAAATTTTGTTAACAACATTTTTTGATTAAATCAACAATAAGGATATAACCTCAAAAATATTAATTTTTGTAGCATACTATTCAGTGGGAAATTAAAATTTCAAGTTAGAAAAAAATTATGTTAACAAAAATTGTTCCTGAAACAATTCTAAACAAACTTTGTCAACAATTTTTTTTGATTTAATCAATAATTAAGGAGATAACCTCAAAATAATAATTTTTCCGTTTTTATACATAATTATACTTAGATGCTTAATTAATAGAGATGTAAAAATTTTTTATTAAGATAATTGATTCAAAATCGAAATTGAAACAAATTTTATTTAAAACATTTTTTGATAAAAACAATAATTATTGAGATAATTAATTTTGATAGCATACTATTCAGAGGGAAATTAAAATTTCAAGTTAGCAAAAAATTTTATTAACAAACACTGTTCCTGAAGTAATTCTAAACAAATATTGTTAATACAAATTTTTGATTTGATCAATAATTAAGAACATAACGTCAAAAAAATTTGTATATATTTTTTATTGAGAAAATTGTTTTAGAATTTAATTTAGAACAACTTTTGTATGAAATTTTCTACTATGAACGAGCGGAGGGGGGAAATCGTATCGTTTTGTTACAAAAGTTCCGTGCCCTACTCATCACGTTCCCTTTAATTAATGATAAGTATGTCAGATGTTTAGAATTAAAAAAAAAAGTGTAATAGTATACTAGTATTATAGAGTTTTTGAATGATTTAGGTGTATTACTCTATAATAAAGTTTTTATCTGATTAAATGAATTGCTGATAAAACTTATATAATGAGTCATTTTTTAGTAATTTAATGATTAGAAAAATTTTAAGTGGTTAATAATAATTGTTATGTAATGCTATTTTTATAATGATTTATTTTTTTATAATAAATTCGTTTTATAAGAAATCGCGTTCAAGAAAATGTTCCACAAGCATTTTCATGTGTTGTTGATAATCTTTTCTGCCTTCAAAGTCATCGGATGGATTAGAAATTTTTAAATCATCTCCTTCCAATAAATTTGGCATGTTATCTTTATTGGCTAACATCAAAAAGCCACCGAAAGCCATCGTCAAACCAAATTTGGCGTATTTTTTCCAATGACTTAAATAAATCGCTTTAGGAAAAACTTTTTTTGGGTCACTTCCCAATCTTTTTAAGAAATCCGCTAAAGTATTGTAATAAAGGTTGAAGTATTTATTAAAATCTTTTATTGTTTCCTTTGTGGCTACGTTGTAAAAGAAATAAGAAACATCTAAAATCGGAGAATTAAATCGTTGGACTTGCCAATCAAGTAATTTGATATTGACGGGTTTTCCATTATCCTTAAAAATAAACATTAATTTTGTTTTGTGTCATGTTTTGATTAAATAAACTTACATCATAAAGAAACATCATGTTGTTTGACCAACAATCTCCTTGGCAAATTACAGCGTAATCATCAACAAATTTATCAACAGTACAAGCGTGATCAATTAAAATTTTCCGTAAATTTCCACACGAATTAATTAAATTTTTATCCAAATCAGAATCCAAATCATTTAAAAACATATCTATGGCCTGCCCAAAACTGTCAGCTAGCATTGATTCAAAAATCTTTGCAAAAGAATCTTTCATATTAAAAGTAAGTTTTTGAAATAAACCAGGTTTTTTGTCTTTTAACGCATAAGATAATGCGTGATACTTAGCAAAAGTCTTCAAAGCCAACACTAAGTGTTCTTCATCAATGGGAGTTTGATAATCTCGTAAAGTGTAACCAGAAAGTCGCAGATTTTCCAATATAATAGGGGTATAACCATCAAATTTAACGTTAGTTTTAACATGTATTGGGACATTATCAAAAATATTTTCTTTTAATCCCTTCTCTTCTTGAATTTTTTTCATTTCAGGATAAATTTCTTGATAAAAGCGAAACTCAACATCAAACGCTGATTTAAGAGATTCGATCATATCATTTTTCAATTCTGGTAAATATTTTATGAACAAATTGATCGTTTTTTCCGTATCTTTCATTTCAACAGCTAAGGTTCTTGAAGCGTAACCATCACCTAATTGAGATCCGGGCGAAATATTTATGGTTGGTGGTGAAGCGAACTCAGTTGTTACAATATCATCGATAGCACGTTTTACATTTGGCACTAAATCTTCGACTGTATTACTCATAATGATCGAATTAGATGAAATCAAAATCTTAACAAAACTTGCTTTTTACAATATGAAAACGATCTAATTCATTAATGTTTTAGTGTTTCATTTTAATAGACGTTATCTGATTATTTCTACAACGATAAGAGTTTTTGTATTGTTTAGAGATTTGTACCAATAGATATTTATTTTTTTAATTGTCTTGCTTGTAATCGTCATAATAAAAGTTTTTCATTTTTGTAACGATGATTTGCAAGATTACTTATTTAACTGTTTAGGATCAATGACCTGTGAAGAACTTTAGGTAAGGTTATAGATGTTTCCTAATCCCAGGTATGTGGGTATGAAACCAATTGTAAGCAGTAAGATTACGATTAGACGGTCTAGGAACAACAGAATAGACCGATAATAGCCCTATGACAAAAAAGCACTTTATTTTTTCATTGGAAAGTCGGAATTTAAGTTCACCCTTTTGTTGTGCATATAATGTCGTCATTTCTGCCTAAAATTATATAATACTATCATCAAGAAAAAACTCAAAGCATTCCACCGGATCAGAAGGGATCCGGAAACCCAGCAATAAGATCGGATTTTTGCCAGTTTCTTTTTTTTGGTAAGTTCTTTTGTATTTCTGACAAAGGTTTGCAGTGTCGTTATCACCAATTGTGAAAGTCCGTCCTAGATTTGTAATTTTCGCCATAGCTTCCGCTTGAAGCTGTCGACCATCCAGTTATTGATATCGTTGCAGAAGTCTTCATTGCCGCTATCTTCAGCACTTATGGTGCTGAACCATCATCTGGAGGAGTGATAAATACAGCCTGANAGTCCGTCCTAGATTTGTAATTTTCGCCATAGCTTCCGCTTGAAGCTGTCGACCATCCAGTTATTGATATCGTTGCAGAAGTCTTCATTGCCGCTATCTTTAGCACTGATGGTGCTGAACCATCATCTGGAGGAGTGATAAATATATCAGCGGCCCAAATATCCTCGTCTTCTATTATTTGAATGAGTTATGCAGTTGTGAGGGGTCTGAAATTATTAAAAAAGTCGTTAAGGACCATTTAGTTTAGCCCATAGTTCCAATATTGGAACTTTTGAGAAAAAGTGTATTTTTTGTACTTATCGTATTTACTAATTTTGGATCAAGATCGACTTTTTATATAAATGTCTTGGCAAGATCGACCGAAGGGTTTAAAGTAACCTTCCTTTTTTTTGCTCTGAGGCCCAGATATAGATATTTCAGATTCATGATTTTTTTGGCAATCGACGTTATGGTCACCACTGATTTAGAGCTTATAAATAAAAAATGGTAATAATTGAGTTTAATCATTTTATGGATCTAGTCTTTATGGTCCATTACTAAGGTTTTATGTACAAAAAGTATTTCCCCATCGCTTTTAGTTTTTGAGTTATAATTGAGTTAATTTTCGAAAATCAACAATTTTGATGTTTAATCGATTTAGAGCTTATAAATAAAAAATGGTAATAATTGGGTTCAATCTT